TTTTTTTGGTGGTACTGGAGATTGAACTCAGGACTTTGCACTTGCCAGGCAAGTAATTATTCTACTGAGCTATCTCCCCAGCCCTGTTTTTTTTTTTTTTTTATCTAATATTTTCAGATGGGCTTAATTTAAATCATGGGTCTTTTATATCTTCTTATAAGAAGCAACATAATAATTATTTGAAAATTTGTGAGGCAGATTTAAAAATAGATATATGCAATAGTACTTCAGCGATATACAAAGTTTTTTTGTTATAAAGTACATACCAAAACTTTAAAAACCTTAAGCACATTTGTTAGCACTGTAACTCAAAAACTGTATTATGCATATTAAGGATGATCATATGCTTTTTAATTTTTATGAAAAGACTGTAATTCTGATTATAAGGAAGCATTTCAAGTGTCTTTTAAAGAGGTTAAAATGGTAAAAACTGAGTAAACAACAGAACAGAAATTTCTCTCATACAGCTGTAGACACAGACCTAGAACTTCTTGAATTCATTAGAAAATCAGCCTCAGGGAGACCCTGTTGGAGCAGGTTGGATTGATCTAGCTTAGTTTAACCTTTATGAGGATAAGGGTCAGAAGTGTCTGAAGCACCACTCAGCCTGGCTCTTTGTCCTCGGTTTGTATCTGTACTATGTATCTGTAGCAGGCCTTTAGCTACGCCCAACTGGAGTCCCAGGCCTAGAAGGCAGGTATCCAGTGAGAGGCCTGTCTCAGTGCCGGTGTGTGTCAGATACTTATGTATGTTGGTATGCATGGCATCTCTGAGCCTCCTATTTTTCCCTCCTCCATCATCCTTTTCTCCCAGTAGCTCTCTTCCCTCCTCTTCTCGTCTTTTTCCTCTCCTTACACTCATCCTTCTTTTCCTACCCTTTTCTCCTTTCCTTTTGCCCTTTTTTCTCCTTACTCTTCTTCCATTTTTTAAATTTTTTTCTGACTTAAGGTATATCAAAATGATGTAAGTAGCATTTACAACTAAATGCCTTCATCTACAAAATAAGTCTTTATAATAGACCCATAACTGTTCTTTAAAAGAGAAGAAAGATGTAGTCTTTGCATAATTATTTAGTTTACATTTGTGTATTGATACCTCACTACTCTATTTTCACTCCCAGTATCACCAATTTGAGAGGCATTAGAGTGTGTTGCTCAAGAACATTTTAATGCTCACTACCTGTTCTGTTAAATTCTTGTTCTACCACTTAGTACAGGTGAGATTTTGAAAAAACTTGCTTAAAATTTTTTGTCTTAGTTTCCAAATCTATAATATGGATCAATACTAGCACCTACTTGATATTATTATATGCATTAAAACTCCTGGAGGTTGACTCTAGATTCAACAATTTATTCTGGTTTTCAAAAAATTAAGGATTTTTAAGGATTTCAAATGTGTGCACCATAAAGAAATTGTGAATGTTTGAAGAGATATGCTTACCTTGTTTTAATATTATATAAAGTGTACATGTATTGGAACCATTGCATGGCATCCTATACATATGTACAATTTTCAGTGAAAAATAAAAAAAAAATATTTACTGAATGGTTCAGATAGTGCCCGTTAAAAGTAATATATGCTCACCCAACATCCTTGTCGGATTGTCAGGAATAAATGAATTAATACATATCACAATGCTTGATATCTGGGATATACTCTGTAAGCTTCTTCTAAAGTATTATTGCCATATTGACTCTTTTATCAGGGTGAAAGATAATAGTATGGCTACTTGCAATTTAATTAACAGACTTAAAATTTCTAATAGCCTTGAAGAAGTTTTAGAGGCTTTAACTTCAGCTGGAGAAGAAAGAAAAATTGATAGATTTTCATCTATTGTAGAAGGACTTCGGCATAATTCAATGCAACTGCAAGTAAGTTTTATGCAAATAACATCTATTCTTAATTCATAGACATATTGTTTTGGAACTGATCAGTTATTGGCTTGTATGTAAACATCTTGATGTGAAACTATTCATGTTGTTATTTTCTAATATTTTAATAAATATATAGAATTCTAATTTGTACTATGTCTTAGCTTTTCTCATAGGTGAGTCTTGCCAAACATTTAGGAATACTTCCTTAGGTCTCTTTTCCAGCACTAAATAGCTAGATTTCTCTATTAAACCTATATTCATATGAATTTTTTATTCAGTAAGTCTGATAACTGTAACTTTACAGCAATTTTGTCCATTATATAAGTTAGAACTTCTCATTGTTTTATTTTCATAAATGGAACCTTGAGTTTCCATTAGCAATAGTGAAACTCAAAGGTTATAGGTTTCCTAAAATATATTTTCCCCCCAAAAATCACAGAGACTTAGTCATTTTACGTTCCAGGCTGCATAATTAGTTTTCATTTAGTTTCTGCTTTTAAAAAGTAGACATGCAGTTTTTATTGGTGTTTATTATTATGATCAAAACTGAGCATCTTTAAAAATACAGCTGGTCCTGATTTTCACTTTTATTTTTTGAAAATTCATCTGGCCGCATCACCTGGCCCTTTGGAGTTTTATAAAAGGATTCTCTAGTGATTCTGATGAGCAGCAAAGTCTGGAAACCAGTGTACTTACAGATGTGAAGTAAATCTGTTTTACATGTAAAGTTTTTAAGTTTAAAAAGTTACAGTTTTAAATTCAAGAAGCCTATGTATACCATGTCAATTTATTGTTTCTAGCTGTGATGGGAAAAGAAAAGCTAAATATTACAATATATAAATATTAAGTGAAAATGAAAAATTAAAATAGATGACAGGTGAATAAAACTGAGGTGTGTGAACACCTGTGAGACTATGAACTAAGACTATGAGCAGACGATGGCATTGAGTACAGGTGAGGAGCCCTGTGATTATTTCTTTTGGCAACAGGCAGAATGGAAGTTCTGAACATACAGGTCTCATTGCATAGAGGCTCTGGAAGAGCCATCTTCACTTATTCTGAGCTTCAAAGGGCTGCAGAGTGGGGAGCTCCCACAGATTCTCCAGATCTGACACCTGAGGTTTCTTTCTGAGCTGGGTATTTGGATTTATAGACCATGATACCAACTTACCTTTATCCTGCTACTTGTGTGTGTGTGTGTGTGTGTGTGTGTGTGTGTGTGTCTTGTATCTCCTTTTCAGATTCTCTCCTTTTTCTGTCCTTTCTTTTCCTTTTATTTCATCTTCCTTTTGTCTAGGGTGTCATTTGGTATCTGATGCATGTATCATTTTCATTTGGTACTAGGTTTCTTTTTCTTTTTTTTTTTTTCCATAATTTTATTGAGAAATAAATAGCAATGAGACAGTTTCAAACCAAATTGGTAGGACGGTTTCAATAATCAACACACCGCATACATTCTTCCCAGTGGTTAATTGCTGTACAAGATGAGGACATGATAGCCTATTTACAAACACTATTAGAACAAATCCCTCTATTCATTAAGAGAACATAACTATATATCTATGCTAACCATTTTGAACACGCAGATACAAAATGGGCATTCATCTGTATGCCCTTTTTTGTTTAGTTCCATCATTTCAATATTATAGGTGTGTTAACTCAGAAAAATATTCTAAAAGAGTCTAGTAGTCCATAATAGTATTGGATCTTCCGCTTGACTGACAATGTCAGAAATTGTTAACCTGAGTACCCTACAGCTCAACATAACAGCATGGCTTTACTTCTTATACTTCGTTTTTATACTTTTCTGCTGGATGATTAAGACCAAGATAAAGCAAGACCTATGCAACAAGAATTGTAGCTTTTGGGTCTGATAAGGTCAGTGAAATCCCCTCTGGATTTATCCTGAGATCCTGTACCTTAGACTGTAGATCCTTTGTCAGTGTCAGCCATGTAGATGAGTCATGTTCATTGCTTGGCCAATGTGCTCTCTGTGAAAGACTGGGAATGTTTTCTCTCCATGTGACGCTCCTTAGGCACACTCTACATCATCGATCACTTTCCTCTTTGAGTCCATAATCTCCTTGATCAGAAACTTTGGGTCACTACTGAGTTACATGACGTAACAGTACAAGTTCTCATATGTCCTGAGTCTTAATTGACCTTGGAAGGCTAGGGCCAAAATGTTGGCTTTCCTTGCAGCCTTCCTTTTTCTCTAGGGTCTGCAAACTTAGGTTGTTAACCCTCCAGAAGAAGAGCTTATTGTTATTACCATACAACCTAGGTTGTTAAGCTTAACCTCACTATCTGTCTGAATATCAAACATCTTAGGCATAACATGGAACAAGTATTTTTCATTAAGTATTGATATGTTGAACTTTAAGTCCCTACAGAATATGATGAAAAAAACATTTAAAAATTAGAATATATTTTTAAAAAAGGCATAAAGAATTATATAATTCTTATGTTTACATGTAAGTCCCAAAATCCAACCGTATACAACCTTGAAGCAGGACAGTCCCACAACATTCCTTTTCCTGTCTCTTGCCTTCATTCACCACCCCCTTCTTTTTGAACAATCATCTACCCTAGAGACAGCACAGCAGCAACTAGCATGTCATGACAAGCAGCCCGTATTCAGAAGACCAGAATGACAGGCACTCCTCCAAGCATGAACCTACTATGACAAATTGCCATCTTCAGTGCAGTTGCTTAGTTCACAGGTATCAGTACATATAGTTAGTCAGGGCGAGAATCTTTCCAATTAACTGCTGGATTCAAAAATCTTCTGGAGATTCTCAGGATCATTGCCTTGCCCATCTTCTACATATAACTGTAAGGCTTGACTTATTCATGTT